GGGGAAATGCTGGGGACAAGAGAAAGGCTTAACCCAGCATCTATAGTGCCTTACTGGAGGCTGCAGAAAAGATTAGCTTTTCATTCAGAAGCCATAACTTCAGAATACCTTAGCTCTCTGATACAAATCAAGAGCACAGAAAGGTTGTGAAAAACCAATCACTTTTTATTATTGGCTGAGCAAAAAAATAAGACACAAAAAAATCATCACAGGTCAATCAGAAGTAAACAAGGTTTGGGGTTTTTTTGGTCTTCGTTCTTGGTATTAGGTTTGGTTTTGAATTTTTTTTTTTTTTTTCGTAAGAGATGTGTTTCTTTCTTAAGCCTTGAGTAAAGTTTGAAAGCAAAACTGAATTCCACCATGGTAAACCAAAACATTTTGTCTTCAAGTGATTGTTTTTCCTCATTAATTTAACACAACTGGTTTTAGTCATAGCCAAAGAAATTTCAAAAGGAATTGTCTTTTCAAATTGAAAAACTCCAGCATCTGTTTCAAAATGATCAAAACCTATTTAAAAATATCACGTTCTACCTGAACAAAAAAAATACCCCCAAAAAAATCACCTCAAATTGTCCAAAATGTCCTGTCTCCACCTGGAAGGTTCAGCTCTGGTTAAAGAGGTTTCTGCTGCAATCCTTCATGCAATTAGTCCACTTAGAGTAAGTGAGACCAAAACAAACCCTTAACTCATCACCAGACATACTCTGATTTCCGTGATGACACTGGCTACTCATTAATGTCTGCAAGACGAAAGGCAGAAGGCGTTTACCCAGAGCTACCTCAAAGCTTCTCAGCAACACAGGCAAAGCTGAATTTTGCCACTGCAAGAAGAAAAGCAGCTGAGGGTGGGCTGGGCTGTTCTTGCAATAGCAAGCAGATGGGTAAGAAGCAAAGGCTAGGGGAGATCTGGAATGTCAATCTTCTTGCTCCTCGTGCTTCTAAGGAAATGGCAGGGTCAGGAAGGGACTTGTCTCTCCCCAGCAGTGCCACTTCCCCATGTACACCAACCCCTCTTTCAGGGGCAACAACAGCAAGCCAGATAACTTCACTACCGTCTACAGGCAGATGGAAAACAGATCATGTTACCCCTTAAAGAGTGTGACTTCCTAGTATGTTGCCATTTTAAATATGGAAGGAGGCAAGGACAGGAACAGGCTATATATAACACCAAAGCTCTCAGCGGTCACTCTTGCATGTCTTTTATTGAAGCAAACACACATCCACACAACCTTGCTTTGACTTTTAGGTGTTGTTAGAGCACCAGCCTCACGGTACATGGGACCTTAGAGTCTTTGCCCAAATGAGGTGTAATTCTATACATCCAGAGAAATAACCAAGCTTTTAGGTGTTGTTAGAGCACCAGCCTCATGGTACATGGGACCTTAGAGTCTTTGCCAAATGAAGTGTAATTCTATACATCCAGAGAAATAACCAAAACATGGTGGGAGCTTAAGATCAACTCACTTCTCGTGTCTCCCTTGTTGCTGCTGCATGTATTCAATGTGATCATGACCAACCAGGTGCCTGGGGTTGTCACCACATGTCGTGACACACACTGCATATTTTAGGATGAGCCTGACCTCCTTTTATTTCTGTTCCTATCTCCTTACACGCTTGCCAAAGAAGCACAGTTCACAAGCATTCAAAAGCTGAAGATATAAAACCAAGGGGATTCAGTGAAAGTAGTATACAAGGGGAAAGGCTAAGAGAGAGCATCACCAGGTAAGCAGAACTTCCCAAGATTTCTCTTGAGGTTATCATTTTGTGTTACATTACATAGAATATCTATTTAAGGCGTCCATGCTTCACGATACGGACCAACCAGCAGCATTCCTTGCTTAGGAAGAAATGTCATCCCTATTGGTATGTCAGCACCAGTTGTAGCTGCTTTTACTCTTACGTTGAAGCATTTGTGTTGGCTGCTGCTGGAGATGAGTCAACAACCACTGGCTCCTAAATGGCAACATCTGCTGCTATCTTTTCTGATTAGGTATCTCAATTTTGTGGGTGCTACTGGCTCTGGCAGGACAGACAAGCCAAAAACTGCAAACTTTCCCCTTTACTAACAAAGAGCAACTCTTTTTCAAGAGCAAATAGTCAAATCCTTTCTTTGAACAAAGATGACAGCTCCTTGAAGCTACTCAGTGACTTCCCATTGTGGCTCTAAGACACTTAATTTTCCCCAAACCTCAACTCTTAATCAATCGTATTATATATTACAAACATCAACCAACATAATCAGAGCCAACATAGAATACTTGCTTCACAAATTTCCCCCCAAGCAAGCACTGTCAAAGCTGAGACAATAACATTCTGCTAATTTGCCAATAATTTATATAGAGACACCACTAAAATTTGCTTAATCCTCAAAGAGATTCAGTTGCTTGACTCTAGATTTCAAAGAAAAGCATGCAAATGCAGCAATAAAATGCATTCCATTTAATCAAGTGAACACATAACAGTCTGATTCACATTGGTTTATGGCATTAAATAACAGTTTCTGATGTGATTCCATGTGGGAGAAAAGGGAGAGGTTGCTGTAAGTATATTTTGGCGGAGTACTAGAAGAGGTTACAGACATCCGATTTCTTAATGAAGTGTTAAAGGCTTCCAACATTTGCCTCTTACGGGAGAATGGAAACTTCCCCTCTCTACTATGTCTTTAACAGAAAGAAAAGAATAGCAGAAGTCAGCTAAAATATGCCAGTTTTAACTTGCTTAATTGTTGGAAAATACAATTTTCTTATTTTAAGGTAAATAAAGTCTACAGTAGTGGTTTGTATCCCACTATCTTAGCACTGCACCAGATATGCTATTAGATTGCCTGGAATAATTTTCAACAATATCATGACAAGCCATTTGGAAGCAGAGCTGAAAAGGTTCGTACAGCAAAGTCTGTCAGAGCTGACAAAAAATTTCCACTCTTTACTTTATTTGGAAAATAAAAGGAAAGAGAAGGAAACCAAACAAACCCTGTGTGGTATTAAGCCAAATTAAATATAGTTCATAAAAATTAAGGCATTTTGACATTACAGAGATATGGGTCTAGTGATGAAAGAAGAAAAGATGTTCTGGAGAATGAACAGTAATTATGGCTTGAAAAACATATGGAGAGAGAAGGGAAAATATTAAAGGAGGTGTAGACAGATGCAATTTGATGGCAGCGAAAAGCTCTAACCACCACTGCAGACCTGCAAGGTTCAGGAAAGGCTGCAGTTCCACCAAACATCTCAAGCCCAAAATTTCAAATATATTTTCACTTTATTTTATGAATGCCCATCAGATATATATCTTTGATGCTACAGCACACTAGTTGAATAAAAATCAACAACATAAAAACCCTCTTCATAAAAGATTCAAGAAGTGAAATCCCAAAGCCATAACCATTTACTCCATAAGCATATCATCTTTGACAACCATATATAAATGACATCATGACAACAAATACAATGTACAATAATAAGTGTGCAATGGTACAAAATATACAAAAAGGAATGTGTATTTAATATACATTCAACAATACCCCATAAAAATCTTTGTTGGGAAAGTGAAGTGTCTTTTCAAGAACAACAAAAAATGTACACCACTTCAGTTAAGATGCCTGAAGTATCTCCCATCAGAAGAGTAAAGCCTGTGTTCTTTGACTGGAGATATATAATAACTGAGCTGAATTTTCCCTAAAGAAAAAAAAACTAAACTTCATAAAGTTTTTGTCCACATCTATAGTATAATAAAATATTTAGAGTGCAGAAAATTCAGTTGAAGTTTTACTTAAAAGTAGGCCCGCTTTTATTGATAGATCTAGCTCAGTCATATAAAATCCAAAATCTATATTCCTTATAGTAAAAAGATCATTTCTGCCCATGTGTCTTTTCTGGTTTTGATGCATTCCACAATTCACATAATTTTGCTATCAATACAAGAATCGTTCCTCACTTTCTCCTGGCTCTATACAAGTCTTGCATAATTTTACTCAAATATTTTTTACCTAAGTTTCAGATTCCTTTGAGTTTGACCTCAACGGGAATTTCAGGAAATTATTACAGTGGATATTATGAAGATCACATGCTTATAATATGGCTGATTTTATGAAAAAGTTTTCCTAGCCTCCAGCTTTCAAGGCACCACTTTGTGTCCTTCTTCCAAAGCAGGTATTTGCATTGACAGCAGAAAGCATTTAGATGCTGAGCTGTACAAGTACATAACCTGTGCTCAGCTCTGCTGGGACTCTGTCCTTGTTCCTTGTGTGGGTCCAGGAATAAAGGTGACTGAGTATTTCCAATAAGACTGACAAAGCTGATCCCTGATTTCCAGAAGTAGAGATTTTTGCTTTACCTCCAGGGTTCAGGCTTTGTGGGTTTGCAGCCCAGGGAAAGGTGCCATACTGGCAGCCCAAGGCAAGGTACTGAAACTGCCAATGACCTCTCCTGAAAGGACAAGTTTTCACAGAGAGGGACAAGTGCAACTTGCACTGTAGGTATCACTTTCCTTCTCTTTATAGAGTTTGAGCCTGCTACTGCCTATAAACTCATGGGCCCAGACCTACAACTCATACAACAGTAGTTAACACATCTAATTTTAACAGCACCAGGTTTTAGCCCAACCCCGATGACTGTGACTTAGGCATCAGAATGGGTTCAACTTGCAGGTGCCTCTTTTATTAGAGACCAACACAGACCATCCAGCCCTTCAAGGCATTAAAATCAAAAGTATTTTCCAAAGTTCAAAACTCACCTGAGGCTCATTGCGAGTACCATCCACAATTTTGATTTTAAGAGAGACTCATATTATGCTACTGAAGAACAACACACAACCTTTGCAGGAGGTTTCAGGCCTCTCTGAAAATCATTTCTTATGAATATGCGTAGAAGGGAGTGATAGGAAATTAAAGGTACCTATAAATCATATGGCATGCCTAAACGATGCCCAGGTGAATGCAAAAAATTCATGTCATTTGCAGTATGTATATCTCTTCCTGAGTTGAATTTCATTCCCAGTGTGGAATCCAAGTCTCTGCTTTCTTTTTTGGCAAGGTACTCAATCACATGGTAAGGCAATCCAATTTTCTGGTTTGCTTCCTGTCTTCTTTCCTCCTAAATGGCCAAGCATTTCTCACAAAGATCACCACTATAATGTGTGCCAGAATATGTTTAAAACATGGTCCTGTAAAAATAGAAATTAGGTTTGTTTCTTTGAAGGCAGCATTAATTCTTCATATATTCTGGGATCTTGAAGATTTCAGCTGAACAGATTCAAAATGATCTTCCTTTTCCTGTAATGGAAAAGACAGTTTCCCATCAACTGGGACTCCTCAAATTCACTCCAACAGTTACTACAGTCACTTTTTCTCTTAATGTCTCCAGAGCAGCCTTTGCCAAAGATTTCACTTTGTTTCTGTCACAGTCATTAAGTGCACAGTTTGTCCCTTTATTATTTAATAACACTACTAATTCTGTAAAAATTTGTAAATTCAATAAAATTATGTCATATATATTGTTCATGGTACTTACTTTAGAGGGTACAGGGAAAGTTTGCATTTCATATTCATAGTATAGGACAGATAGTCAGAGCTGAGGAATTGCAAAGTAATCATATCTATGGTTGTTATTAATGTGTTTCCTACAATAAATAAAATGTTTGCAGCAAAAAAAGTAATCATATCTATGGTTGTTATTACTTATTAATGCATTTCCTACAATAAATAAAATGTTTGCAGCAAAGTCTACGAATGCCACTGTCTCACTCCTGGCTTCCAATCCCAAATCCTCCTCTGGGAGACCTACAGGACAAAAAGAGTCTACAAATCCTCTGCCATCTTAAAAATCAGGGTTGGAGGCTTGAGTTTTCTTTCTGTTTTTGTTTGCTAGGTGACAGCCTAAGCCACCTTGCCAGCAGGCATCAGGGTGCAAAGTGTGGAAGTAAGCATTACTGTGCGTGTGAACAACCCAATGGTCCATGCAGAAGCAATGAATGAAGGAGCCCTAATAAAACTACTCACTATAAGTTGCTGGTTCTTGCTTCGTGTACTTACCTTTTATACTTATTGATGTACACAAACAGTTTGGAAACTATGTCAAACTAACCTCATGATCTGATCTTTAAAGCCATCTCACTCAGAACAGGACAGCCGAGTGCAGACATGAGAAAGAGTAGGGGAAAAAGTTGTCCTACGCCAGCCTACTGCAGAGTATATATTGTTTGTTCTGAAGGACTTGGTATTGTTATACTGGAGACAACAGGGAACTAGAACTGCCTCCAGTCTGAAGCAGTTTCATAATTCTTTAACTTCTATATTCTCATTAAAAATAACAGTAATTTCTTTCTATACTACAGGCCTAGACCTGAATTCCTTGGGTACTCAAAACTAATAGCTTCATGAAATGTTTTGCTTCATAGAAATGCCGTTGCCTGAAGCTTGAACATATAGTTAGGATACTTCAGATTTTTCTTTATCTCCCAGTTTACATTTCTCCTCTTTTTCTACCATTTTCCTCCATACATTTTTTCCACATTTTACATGCATACACAGCAGAAGATGAATTTCCTCATCCTTTGCATAAATGAAAACCGATGTCTATAACATTTGTTTTGGAGAAATATATATCAAATTCCAGTTATCTGCAGGAATACAGGACACGGATTTCAGTAAGCTAATGAGGTACTGGAAGCTGAGTTTGCCAGCTATGATTATCTAGCAGGAGAAAAGGAACCAGCTTAGAAATACAGCCTTGTTTAAAAAGGAGAGAATACACAGGGAGCCTGCTACAATGGATACAGGAGCCTGCTACAACGAATACAGGAACCTTAAAAAACTCTTTTTGAGTCCAAATAGGCATTCAGGTAGTCTGAATAGTAAAGTACTAAGGCTTACTTTAAAGAAAAAAAAAAAAAAAACACTTCTCCCATGCTCTTGTCTCCATACTTCTAATCAGGAAGGAGCCAGTGGTTGATGCTGCAAACAGAATCAGCAAAGCTTTTACACTTATCAGGCAGAGAGCAAAACGCATCCCTCAGCAGCAGTACTGGTCATTACACTCAGCACATCCAGCCAAGCTATTTCATGGACAAAAAAACATCATCTGTATTTCAAAGTCAGTCCCTAGAGGATTCAAAACAGAATCAACTTCCATTTTTGCAACACCACCAAAAAATTTGATATGATTTGATTTTATTTGCATCTTCAATATTCTCAATATTGAATTAGGAATTATTATTGAATTTCTGCCCCTTTCCATGAGGAACAATATTGATTTTGCAAGACAAATAGTCAGGCTGGGGTCAAGGGGAAGTTCCGCATATTAGCTGTGTAATGATAACTTCTCCTAGGAGGGAGATCTGGGGAGAAGGTAGTGTGGAAAGAGGAGAACAGTCTAATAAAAAAGTAAAATAACAAAGAGAAGAGAAAAATAAGGGAAAATAAAGGAGGTACACAGGTTTTAATTACATTGCATTGAATCACAGAATGGAAAAAAAGGAATACAAGTTAAAAAATCTCAAAATTCAAGACTGAAATATTATTCGGACAAGAAACAAGAGACTGACTTTTTAAAATAATTTTTTATCATGATCTTTTAAGAAACCTTCCTGTTTTGAAACAACCCATTTCAGCAAAACCATTTCGAAGGGAAAATGTCATCTACCTTTATCCTAATCATAATACATGCCCCAGCTGGACTCCCTTACAGACAACACTACCTTTCACACAGACTTCAAGGTATTTGGAATAAAGACCAACATGCTTGCAGGATCTACTGTGATGGTCCTCTGTCGCTCCTCTCAGAAATTTTCAAAGGACACCAAAGTCCTTTGTGCTATGAATTCAGACATGCAACAACTCACATCACATATGCTGCAGAAAAAAGTGCTTTTTGTTGTTGCTTCCCATTGAAATGGAGGAGGTTGCTGTATTGGGTAACAGGGAGTGGCTGAGGCCTCCTCTTCAACTGACTCCTACAGTACTCAAAATTATGGTTCTCGAGTCAGCCATGAAGCCAGCCCAGGTGAGCTGCAAGCAGCTGGCTGGTGGCTATGTTCCCAGTGCTGATTTTCTGTATCTATAATAGCTGCATTTGCCTCAGCAATGGAGATGTCCAGGCAGAGGTTCTCCTCACCATTAACTGCTCTTTTTAGGTATCACTCACACAATAAAGAATGCTACTGAAATCACTCTGCAGAAGAGGGACCATTTACTCACTACCCTGCAATATTTCTTACCATCATCCATACTGCAGATTTCAGCAGATCAGCTATAGGCTGGGTGAAGGGCATGTGGGAGGCTGCACAAAGCTCTGTGCAAATTAGCATCACAGCCTCATCACATCCAGTAATAAATAAAGGTAATAATTATTTTCAGTATTAATAGTAGTAATTACTACTCACCTTTGTTGCCAAGGACTTGAGCTTCCCTAGCAGTGACTGCTTATTTGAATATACTATTTCTTCTTCATTGTCTTCTCCTTCCATTATAGCACAGCTGTCAGCAGCTGGCAGCTCACACTCTTTTGAGTTCGCTGTCATCACTAATTTGGAATATTTATACTCCAGCCTGAAGATACAAAGCCAGACCAGCAGAGATTTTTTTACGAATGTCCCATATTCAAGATTTTGTAATTTAGATTATCTGCAGTCCTTCCACATAGTTATTACTGAGGTATTTACTGGAAATTAGACACTCTTAAATCATTAAAAACACGTACCCAAAATAGCATTAACAATACATCAAGTTCCTGCTCTCCAGATTAGTCCTCTACCCTTATAAAAGAGCCATGTTTTCCCAAAAGACCACAAGTAGGTCAAGACGATTTCCTGCATGAAGAAGTGCAACCTGTGTGCTAGTTGGGGCAACAGCAGGTCTGACTTCAGCCTGTATCAGAATCTGCATCACACTCCAAGGAGGCTATGGGGGAGAAGAGAGTTGTATAACAGTGTGTAGTAGGAGGCAGTAATGATGATACTGGAGTCTGGATTTGGTGAAGCTGGACGTGCTACGGGGCGATGAAATCCCATTGAGGTGGAATCACATTTTGAAAGTTTATGGCATGAGATTTGTAAAGCAGAGGACAATGGGGATGGGGAACAGTCAGTATGTTCACTGAGAAGCAGAAATCTTTTGGGTATGTACCATATATGTCCTGACAAAACAGACCTAAGCAATATACGGTCACAAACCTTATATTAACCCAGCTGAAAGGTACTAATTAGACTGAAGATATATCCTTTCAGTTTTCAGACTTTGAGAAAGTCATGTTACTTCAGGACCTAAGGTCAATTTCAGACTCTCAGGGGTTAAAAAGACAGTTCCTCTTAGGAAATTATGCCATAAAAAATTACTGTGGATTTTCTATATTTTCCTCACTAGCATTTTTGATAGCCACTGTTGGCAGAAGAAACCTCAACTTGGTGGATCAACGGACAGATCCAACATGGTATTTCTCAACAACATTGTCATAAGGTCAGATCCATGAAATGTCTTTCTGTTCACTGCATCACTTTTATAGGGAACACAATTTGCAGTACTTACTTCTGGTTCTTTTTCCAAAAATAACAGGTCAAGGCTATGAGCAGAACGGCTGTGAAAGCACCAACACCAGCTCCAACTTTTAGCCAAAAATCCACTGTTTCACATGTGCTGGTCCTTTTTTCTGGCAAGGGAACCCCTTTAATGCAATGCTTTGGCTCATTCCATACATACAAGGTTTCCTTTCAAACAGGAAAAAGAAAACACCAAAAAGTGAGTCGCTTGTACGAAAAGAGAGAACTATTTACAGTTGAAGAAAACACACTGTTTTGAGGTAGAAAGAGTAGACATCTTTTCAATGAAAGCAAACGAAAACATGTACTTCAGGTTTTCAGACTCTAAGTGGAGTCATGTTGTCACTCAGTTGTACCCTTGATCGTGCCTGCAGGTTCAGGCATGGCAAAAGGATTTCCTCTTCCATATTGCTCTTCACCTGGCACAATATGGGTTGGACAGCAATTGTGAATGCATTGTGCCTGCATTGAAGCTGTTGATCAACAGGCCAGTTCTGAACCTGTAAAAGGACTTCCTAATATTTGACTAGTGAAGGCAGTAGCAAAAAAAAATTGCAAGAAATGAAGGATGAATTTCTGAACTGAAATTCTGAATCCTTTCCTATCCTGCCCCTGAGGTCTATGGCTGTTAAAGGACTGAAGTCCTTTGGGCACCCCATCCTTCACAAATAACTTGCCTGCATGCATGAATGCATGCAGAGTTCACATCCCTACCCACACAGCACAAGCTAGCTCTCCTTCAGGAACCATGCTTCCATTGCCACAAATATCCCTGAGTCTCAACACAGCACCTCACCAACAAGACTTACACCCAGCCAGCTCAGAGCATAGACTGAGATTTCGCAACTCTACCTGCACTTACATATTGATTTGCACACCAAATTTCAACAGAGCCCAAGTTATACCCAAATGAACCCATCTGTCTTGAAGACATGGGTCCTGTACCTGAAATCCTTTTTTGCAGGCTCCCTCAATCTCGTGGTAGTCTTGCTCCGTGCAGAGAGGGCAAGCTTCTGCACTTTCCCATACAAAGTAGAAAGTGCATCCATCACAGGTGCCCGCGGGACATGAGCTAGAACGAGAGCAAAGCTTAGTTATCACTTATGAAACCCTCTGGGGATTGCATCCTCGCTCCACATTCTGCCGTTGAAGACTGGTAATGCTAAGTACAACAAATGAGTAAACATCCATCAAGTCAGCAGATGGAAAAATCTGGGGGAAGAATTTTTCCCAGTTTGTAAAATGCTTTCTCAAGTGAAAACAGATGTTGAGCTGTCGAAGTTCCAAAATAACAGTTCAGTTCCTGGCAGTGAGGGCTACTCATGCACCTGCAATGAAAAGAAGAGAATAGAAAGAACCAAGCCTTCTTGCAAGCCTTCAGCAGAACTACACCTGGGTTTCATCAGCACGGCTAGCCCAGCATGCACCTCTATTGCTGTTCTCCTGCACTGGGTGACTGTTCCACATGAATGATGCTATCTGGTTCCTGCTGTTGTTCTAATGATGTCTGGGTGATTTCGTCCATATGGAATGGACTTGTCCTGTCACGGTTAATTACTAGAAGGATGTTCACCAGTTAATGAAGAGATAACAGCTTCTCTTAGTCTAAGAAAGACTAATGACTCTATTTTATATTCAGCCTGCAGAAGAAAGTTGTACTGGCAATGGCAGGACATTCATGCAGCTTTTTTTACCAACAATTACATCAGGTCTAACAGTAGCAGTGGCCAAAAGTCCATGCAAGAAGCTAGGTCATGTATGTATGAAATCTATCCATACATAAAAATGGATTTAAAGGGTTTTTTCTGTATCATCTGGAAATCTGTTATCCTGATCTGAAGGACTGAAAAATCCACAGCCCTAAAAGCCCATTCTAGCTTATACTGATTTGAATAACTGACAACTGTCCTTTCTGGATTACAAAACATTTTTTCAACGTACATGGCAAGAGCATTGACAGACCTTTCTCCTCAACCTCTTTCATCTTATAGTGTAACTTCATGTGATACTAAACACCATGTCTGGAGGATCAAGGAGTTACATGCAGTATTATTTGTCATATAACAGATACCTTGCTGTTTGAAAATAGCTGTCTAACTGCTGAGCTAATCAAAGTGGGCTAGGAAGGGAGAAGGCAATAAGAACTGAAATAAAGTATGTCATGTCAGCTGTGTGCCATTTCTGCCCATGCTCACACTGCTAAAAGCAAGGTAGGTTAGTCCTCCCTTGCTACTGGTGAGTTACCACAGCTCTCATCGTGTTTAACCTGTAACACTAGAAGGACAACTGGAGGAATTCCACACAGCAGCTGATAGATAGTGGCTTGTTGCCCAGCATAATTTGTAATGTGTAAGGTCTCTAAGAAAATTAGGATAAGCATCTCCAAAGGTATTCAGACATCAATCAGTCCTCCATAACCTGTGAAGTAGATTCCTCTTTGCCTTCATTCAGATGAGCATGGTTCACCCATCCCAAGAGAGACAGGGATCAAAGAGGATCACACCCTTCTCACACTGTTAAGTTTTGGGAAGAGGACTTCACTTTTCGGAAGGAGGATGAGTGAGAGGACTATCAACAGATTTATAGTAACGTCCAGACAGACCAAGTCGGGCCTCAACAGCCAAAGAGGAGTGTTATCAGAGTTTAGGGGCATTTCTGAAGAATCACAGGGTGTTGCTAAAGGGTGAGAGAATTAATTGTTTCCTCTGCAACTTTCAGGTGCAGGTATAAAGAAGGGTTTTTGGATTCGCTTGAATCAGAGTGAAGGGAAAAAAAAGGTCAGGCAAATTAAACACAACTGGTACAAGGGGTCCAGGATACAAACCAGAGTGATGAGACACATAAATAAATACAAATAAATAAACACACATAAAATTTGAACTAGACAGAGTCAGGGATTACATAAGCATTACAACAGCAGATTTCATAGTTCCTAGGACAGGTTACTCTTTTTCCAAAAAATCACATTGTCCACAGCCACTGCTGTGGATCAAGCAAGAAAAACTACCTCTCAAAGCCCCGACTAGGCAGTTCTAATCAGAATGCCGAAGATCCAAACAAGGAACTGAAATAGAGCAGAAGTGGAGACAAGAAAACATCACTACATTTTCTTTTGGCTTTAAGCTTGGAACAACCTGCCCGAGCTCTAACATCTCTCACCACACAGCCTGAATACAGAGCAGTTGGTCTGCTGGGAGATGATGGACACACATGTCCTTCACCTAGGAGAAAAAAGTGAGACCTCCTGGGTGGCTGATGAGTGAGGCAGCACTCCTCATTACTGTTAAGTATAAAATTACAAGCGAGTTTTGTAAAGATTACCTGAGGAGAAGAGGCTTTTTGGCACTACTAGGATACAAATAATTAAATACCTGGGCACAGAAAGTTCTCCTTGGTCTGGTTTGTTAGGGTTGCATCTCATTGTCACAACAGTTGCACGGCCATTTTCACAGGAGGTTGTCACTGTTGAAGATCTAATGTCAAACAAGAGGAGAAATGTAATAGTTTCCTCTACAGTAAATAAATGTTGCTCTTTCATAGGTCTCTGTACCTTCATGCAACTGCAATACTAAAGATTTACCCGTTACCATAGCACTTTTGCCTTTGTCAGCTGGCAGGGAAAAAAGGAGCAACAGAAGCAGGGTAGGTTTCACCACGTCATTTAAATCTCAAAATGCTCTGAGATGCTACTCAGGGAACTGCTTTGTTTTTCTAGCTAGTTTGAATTCTGCTGTGTCAAGGAATAAACCTGCCCACAAAACAGAATAGAACAATTAAAAAAGAGAATTGCAGGTGCTGTGGTTGGTGTGTTACTCTGCCAGAGAGTTTATGATAGCTCTCTCCTCACCTGGTAATCGAAGAACCACGCTGTCCTGAAATAGCACAAGGCAAAGGGGATTAAAAAATGGACCTTATTCCAACATGATAGACATTGTGAGCCAAGTTCATAATATACCCAAAGTAGGGTCACTGGTGTGGGGTTCAGTTTGCAGAATCAGACATAGAATTTAAGTATTCACGTATGCATAAAGAGTTGTCTCCAAAGTGTTATAGCCAATTAAGATCTATCACTAAAGCCAACACAACCTAGAGAGCCAGTCAGTAGAACAAACATAGGTATGCACCTTAAAATAAGCTGAATAGCCCCAAGGGCTAAGCCCAGGCTTGGAAACCCAGTTCACCTGAAGACACCGGCATGTAGCATTTTAATTGAGGTGACTTTTGAGCTACTTCTTACCCAAGCTGAGGTATTCTATTTATGGAGGAAAGTGAAGAATAAGAAAAGCATCTAGTAACTGTGCAGGTGGGAACAACTATTTTTAACCTCCATTAGTTTGGTTTTGTAAAATCAAAGTAAGTACAAACGCATGTGAAAGAAAACATGCAACAGCAAGTGGACATATCAAAGCCATATATGAGAAATTATGGAAATGAACATGACACTGGAAGCGGCACCTGGGTGAACCAAAGCTCTGGTACCATTCTCTACAGATCGAGTGTAGTTTAGATTTGAGTAAACAGTGCTTGTTGGTTTCATAATATGTTATTCAACATGCCAGTCAATATCAGCCAGATACTGATTAAAGTGATAAAGATTAAAGGTGGATTAAAGATCTCCCCTCACAGTTGTAGTTTCCTTTAAACAAATGAAGAAATTTGACATACCAGTAAACAGTATTTTTTACCTACTTGTAAAAGAAATGCACATCAGGTATTTTGCTTGGAGAGGGAGGAAACATATCTGTCTTGATGCTGACATTTTCCAGCATTGTTTCAACAGTAGCTCCTAAAATTTGAGACAAGGGAAAAAAAAAAAAAAAAGGAACAAGCTAAGAACGAATTTCTGAGGGGTTCACCTATAACATTTTCTCAGTCTGAAAGGTATAGGTCTCACTTAATAGCATTTAATGACATTACTATACATTACACACTTCCTTCTATTCGAGTTAAATTTTGCATATTTGTATGTTCCTCATACAGCCTGGTTTCCTCATATAGACATAACAAAACAAAAAATTAACAAAACAACACCAGTGTAAATAAGCTTTACTCTTTTTTATTAATTTAAAGAAATCACAGGATGTTACAGAATTATAAAATTATTTAAGTTGGGAAAGGACTGCTGAAGATATCTGATCCAATCAACTGCTCAAAGCATATGCCTTGAATGTACAACAGTAACACATCATAACCATGTAACACCCTGAGCAATCTGCAGTGTTGTGGGAGAAAAAGGGAAAGATGCAATGACAAGATGCAGAAGGATTATGGAGTCATAGACAAGCCTTGATGGCACATTTTGGAACAAATGACTGGCTGGTGTGGAACAACACAGGTTACACAGGTCTTCATTGATTTTGAGAAGAGCTGAAAAAGAGGAAAATTCAAGTAGCTGAAGTTCTTAAGAGATCCTTCCAACCCCATGAACCAAAGAAGACAGAAAATATTGGTGCTTCACTGTAACATTTCAGAATAGGGAGATGTACAAATAGGACAGGCTGCATCCTTCTAGTGAGGTGAAAAGCTGCTAGAACAACAAAAAAAGTGGTAGCAGCCACTAACTAGTGGGAAGATGGGAAAGACTGAAGAAAAGAAGTTTTCCACTTGTTCTTGCAACAGTTCAGGCAGTCTAGCTGAATTCTCAGGGCTTTGATTTGACTGGCATTACATTTGGGAGGATGATTCACACAGCTGGAAGATCCATGTTTGGTTATAACCCTCTTAGGTAAACACAGTAGACAACAAAGGTGACAGTTTGAACTAGACACTACTACCTGGTGTAGGACAAGTCAGAGCCTGGGACTATGAAAGCACACGGATCAATGTGCTCAGTAACATTGCTCAGGAGGTCTTGCAGGTGAGGGGCAGCTAGACAGCATCACATCACCAGACAGAACAAAATGAGCTGTGCTGCAGCAACCATCAAGAGCACATGCAGAAAGATGTCAGGTTATTGTGGAGGGGCCTCCCTTCCAAGAACGTACACTGACCTCAGCAAGGATGATCATTTCCTCTCATCAAAGACATTGCATCAAACGCAGGGTAACTTAAATCTGGATTGCAACACAGTGGACAGAGGTTAGCTACTCACTAGACTGGAAGATGATAGCTCCTAGGGAACTTACTATATTCAACAAAGGCAATGAGAGAATATTACCATCCAACATGTAGTACTGTAGAGACGGCATCTCAAGGTGCAGTTTCTCAAAAATAAGAACACTAACAGCAAAATCATGTGAAAAAAAAATAAATGTTATTCTTCAGAGGATATTAATTATATGGCTAAAAAGCCACAATGGCTCTCTCAAGAGTGGCAATAGCTTTGACTAAGAGTCCACCTTGGATCAGAACAGCGCTAAAAGACCAATTCAAATAAAAACATTGGCACAAGCTTAATGGAGGGGGAATAGAGAATAAAATAAAAAGTTATGAGTTACAGAAAAATGATAACGGATGCTAAAGACTTCAGAGAAAAGCCTGTGTTTGGCAGCACTAGAAAAATTCTAAGTTTGGAGCTTTTTTAGAAATACTAGAAATAAGAGGACATCTTATGAATAGGAAAGGCAAACTTCAACCATCTTAAAATGTAACAATTGTGATAAAGAAAAGGCAGCAGAAGAGCTTCATATCTTTTGTCTGTATTAGGAAAAAATCAGGAGTATCTCCTTACTTTCCAAGACAATGACTGAACACCTCATTCCTTCAGTGGCAGCAGAGGATATTGGCATCTACTTGGCATGCACGCTTGTAAACTAGCAAACCCATACCTAAAAAGTGACCTTTAATAGAGCTTAATGATAGCAAAATGTCAAAAGACTGACGGAGAGGGGATATGGTGAGACGAATTACAAGTTGGCTAACATGATGAGGCAAAATAACAGGAACGGTATGTGGAAGATGGGCTTTATTTTTGCTTATTAATGGATACATACATAATGAGTGACAGTCAACATGAACTCATGGAGAACAACTCTTGTTGAACAAATCTGATTTCATTCCTTGAGTGCTGATAAATTTGGTTGCTAAAGAAAATTATGTAAATTTATCAAGTATTTCACTAATTACCACACGAGATTCTAATTAAAAAGTTAGTAGTGTAATATCAATTAAGTGCACACTCTGGATTAAAAATTATTTAACTAACTAATTATGAAATTATCTGGCTATGGGAAATTGTCATCAAATGTGGTATATCTCCAGGCTTTTCTAGTCATTGATATTGAAGTCCCAAAGTGCAAGATTATCATCAGGGATCTGCAAGTAACTATATAATCACTGTGGGTAAAGTTGTAGATGAGACAAAGATGAAGAGGAACAGGAATAAAATACAGAGCAACTCAGTCCACTTGGTAAGCAGGTCCCAATCAAACTAAACATATTTAGCGTAGACAAGTGAAGCAAGGGATGAAGGCCAGTCCTAAGAAAGAGAGATTTTCCCTTGGAAAGTATACCTCTGAAAAAGATCTAGAGTGGACATCAGATCCAGGAAACCATCATGAAATCCCAGGAGTCTGGAAAAAGAAGGACTCAGGGATTTCATCCTTGCGTGTAAATACAAATACAGAAGTGATTCTTATTGCCATTATAGTGAATTTAATACTGGAATACTATTCCATTCTGATGCCCATGATTTAAGAAAATAGAATAACAAGGCAGAAAGAGCCTCAGAAATTCTTCAGGTGCTTGAGAGAAATACACGATAGCAAGTAGAAGAAATTGGTCTACTTGGTTTATCAGAAAAGCAGACTGGGAAGGGTGTGAAGATTCCAGTACACAAAATATTTCTCCAAGGAGAAAAATGTGGGTGTGAAAGGGAGAAAGAATAACAAGAAGCAAGAGCTGAAAACTGAAGCCAGACACATTCAAACAGGGAACAAGTCTGCTTTAAAACAAAATACAGAGACAGTATTTTACCAGTGGAAAAAAGTACCGATGACTGTGGCAAAGCTTTTATTTCTGGCAGTCTTAAAAGTTCAGGTTGAATGCTCTTCCAAAGACGTGCTTTTGTCAAACATGAGTTTCTGGGCTTAGTGCCAGGGAGAAAGTACAAACACTCAGTGCCTGTAATGGATAGGTGAGCAGACCAAATGACTTCATTGTCTAATCTGGCATCAGACTCTGGGAACTTGTGAGCCGGAGCAATGCAAGACTTAATGATGTGCATGGCCCCATGCTGCCCTAAGCCTCCTCTTTCCTTGCCTAATTATGTCTCAGCACCAGCTTCTTCTGAAATTGCCCAAATGGGGACTCGGCATGGGCAGAAATACTTGGACTAATGTGACTACTACAGTGATTGGTCTTGCCCTGCATGAGGCAGGTAGGAAACATGAAAGAAAACCAGTGCTTTTTAATTACATTCTCCAGATTTTTGTGCTGAATCTCTATGCACCATGGGACCCACCAGACCAAACACAGGGAACAGTGAGCAATATGGGAATGGAAAACAACAAATGGGGGCAGCCCTTCTTCTCTTCAAGCCATCAGCTGAACTGAAACAGCAGCACAAAGCAACGGCATCTGTCCAGACCTACTTGACAGCTCAGGAACAAAGTGGGACTGAACTTTGGGCTGCCCCCTCACTCTTCTCCCAAGGTAATGCAGCATTGCTGAGCCAAGAAGCGTTTACTCTGCAGCCCTAAATACATGAGAGTACACCCATGATAACAATAAGCAGAAGACAAATCATGTACCTAAGAACCTGTCAGCAAGGCTGTTGGACTGCAGAGCCAGGGCTGTTCGGAAACCCTTGCTGTCCGATGGGATGATGGTGGACTGACAGACAAAAGCTCCCACAAAATTGGAAAAATCTTCTGATTCTGCAACCATGTCCTTCAGAGTAACATCTGTGATATTGTCAGTACAAATAGCCATCTTCTTCCCCTGTGAACAACCAGGAAAAAATGGGGAAGTTGTTGGTTGTTGATAAGACACGGAAAAGTTTGGGAAAGGAAAGATTGCTAACTTCCTGATTGCAAACTGGATGAGTTTCATTACTGAACCTTAGAATCAACTTGATGTTTCTATCATGAGAAAGACAAATTGCAACAACAAACTGTGCCATTGTGAAAGCTCTGATTAAAGCCTTGTACAGACCCAGAAACACGGTGTCACCTCAGGTATGTGTCTTATCAGAACCTGTGCTATGAAGGACTCTTCTTTGTTTACCTTGACAGCACAGTGTTTACTTGCGGAGCACCATAAAGTGGCTTGCAAAGAAAAACCATATTTCCCTTGCCTTTAAATAATATACTGCAGAATACCTCTTTATTCGGGATTCAATCCAGATAAAATATTTTCAAAGAACAAATACATGAAATCCCTAAACAGATATATAGCCTTCACTAAGGCTGCATTAATGTCACATGTCAAGACCAGTGCTAGAATCTCAGAGCAACAGCAGTGAAAGACAAATCACCAGACTCGGTTGTCCTGACAAAATGGCAAGCACTCACAACCTAATCATACAGTTGGTAGTGCTATAGAACCATTGTAGTAGTTTGGGAAAATGAAGACCAGAGCCACGGGGGAGTAGCTGTACCTTTGCAGATCTAGTTGTTAGCAGCTCTAATCCGAGTGGTACTTAAACACACATACTTTTGAGCCTAAAAGTATGCAAAACACTGTAGAGAAATCTCACTACTCATTTGCCTCAACTCATGCAAATCCTTTGGTACATGGGAAAGAGACTTCAGAACTTTACAGGGCTGAACATTAACATAAACTACAGGCATTGACTTTCATGGGACAATACACATCACTGGTACTGCTCTGAAACTTCAATTCATGTATGTGACAACGTGCTCTGGTACAGGCCAAGCTGCAGACAGAAAAATCTTGACTCTGGGGCAGAGACTGTTTGCACTCATGGACTAAACACATTTTTCCACACTTTAAAAGGCTGCAATCAAAGTCAGCAACGGGCATCTTGGCCACTGGCAGACAGCAGGGTGACCAGGGGCTCTGCTGACAGCAACATCTCCAGCCAAGTCATGAAGGAAACTTAGCGAAAGAAGCTGGCAACCAAAAGACTCAGACTCTTCTCTCGAGTTCCTTGGTGGCAGCACAAAAGGTCAAGGTTGTGACCCAAGTGACTTGAAGGCACAAGAACTCAGAAAAGCTAGGCATGTGACAGGATTTTATTTCTGAGCTTTACTTATACCTAAAACACTGTCACCTCTGCTCTGGAAAATCACTTGGCCACTCAAAAGTCCTCTTGCACTGCCAACAAAGATCCAGAGGGAAGTGTTTTCATGGTATCAGTGACAGCTCAGCTGAAGGCGAGCCCTTGTCCTGTCTCAGTGTGATCCCACAGAGCATCAGCTCAGGCAGCAAATTGGTTCATCCCCCCAAATCTCAACACAGCTGAGCTCACCTCATTCCCACACAGGCTGATGTTAAAGAAGTGGAAGAACTTGGTCCCTCGGGAGGTGAAGCTGGGTCCGCTCATCAACGAGCCTACCTGGCTGAGGTTGCCAAAATCATAATTCAGGCTCTGGTTATCCTTGACATATGACAACAGGCAGTCACTGAAGCAGGCAGAGTGGTCCTTCAGAGAAAGAGGCATCCATTAGAGATCAGTTATGGACCAGCAGCAAACCATTCACCTGGGAGTTAAAGCATGCAGGTGCAGACAGAACTGCTTTCCTTGTTAAGGATGGAGGGGAACTTTGTCCTGTTCCTGTAATTCACCTTTCCCTTGGGAGAATTCCCATTCCTGTTTCAGTCCCTTGCAATCACATATCAGGACTTAATGCTCCCTAAGCCTCGCCTTTGTGCTGTCCGCTGCATTAGCCAAGAAAATGCAGTTTCTTGCTTTGTATTGTTGCGGGGGCTTTTAGAATACAATGTCCCAGCTTAAAGCCCTGTAGATAGACCAGAACATGGCCTCAGCTACGCTTGCATCTTGCAAAGGGAACACAAGAAACAGCTCAAGAAACAGGGACGGAATGTGAACCCAGCTGAAGACAGGCAGAATATGAACAAATTGGAGCAGTCCTTCAAGTTCCTGTGCAGCTCCTTGCCAAAGGATGATGCACATGATAAATGTTTATCTAGGCTTAAGGGCAATTTCATATAAGAGGAACCTGTCATAGGTTTCTAAAGGCACAGAAACATCATCCAGCTGAGGAAGTCCCCGAGTTTAAAACATCAGGAGTCTGGGACAGTTTTAGGTGGAAGTAATGTGTATGTTTGCCCTGTTCTTAGGCAGTCCCCAGTACAGCTTCTTGAAATGAACCTTTTTTTTGAGTCGATGTTGTCAATTTTAACTTCTTATTGCATATTTACAAACACAAAATTAGAATAGGGACCTATTTGGAAGAGTGGGATCATTGGTTATCATTATTCTGGACTGCTTGCAAGGAATATAACTGCAGGAAAGCATTAAACCGGCCATTTGAGCAGTTATATTGCAACAAACCCTGTCTGCCCATCGCTCAGAGACACTCAGTTTCTGTACCTTGGTGCTCTTGCTGCCAGGCCCACACGGGATGCAGGCCTCCCTGCCAGAGACCTGGTGAATGGACAGGAAGGTATTGGCTGGACACTCCTTGCACTGGCTGGTCTCCTTCTCAATGTAGTGTCCTGCCGGGCAGGGCACGCAGGATGAGCCAGATTGCTCGGAGCCCAGCGCACAGGCCCGACAAGAAGAGGCGACTCCATCCACTGCGTTGGTCACCGTGATGGAGTAGATCTTTGCCATGTCATTGATGAACTGTCTGCTCTGGAATGAGAGCCAAGGAAACCACCCTGGTGTCATCATGCCATTGCATTTGAACACTAACCACATCTCTGTGCACCAGTGCACCAGTCCAGGGATCGACTTACGCATGTGTCTGTCTTTCAACATGGATGGTTTATCCACACCTACCTCCAAAGGGCTACTACATGGTGACACCCACTCACCCCTTACAAGAAGCTGGTGAGCTTCAATGGAGGGCAAGAGCTCTGGCAGCGAGTTTCCAAGGAAAGCTATGCTGTAAAGCCCTGTACATAACAAAGTACTTACATCTTGGCCCTCGTTTATTCTCTGAAAGGCCCAGGTGAACGTGAAGGAAGCGTTTTTGGAGATGATGTGGGTGTAGGATTGTTTCTCTTTACTTCTTTCCCACGATTCCACCACATTGGTATTTTTTCGATTAACATCCTATAAAATTGACATAATTTTTTTTAAAAAAAATGAGGCGTGTTCATACTACACTAAACACCAGTGGTTTATAATATAGAGATTAATATATATAAAGGACTTTACAATTACATTTAACATTCAATAATGGAGAGCAAACATATTTATTCTTTTTTGTAGCGCTGGCGTTTTTTTAATCGAGAATGGGTGTCTATTCCAAAAGATACTCTAGTTCACACAACAGTTAAGTTCAAAGTCCTATAGCAGGTCATAAATGTTATGAGGACAGATCCAGCACAGTGGTCCTTTCAGATTTGATCTTCTGTTTATGTAAAACATGTGTGTACCTGAGCACAGAAAGAGGAAAACCAAAATTCAAAGAAAAATTGTAGTTTCTGCCATCTTTGAATACCTACTTTGTTGGTGTCTTTAGTGAAACAGAACTGAGGTCAATAAGATAGCGTCAAAGTTTACATGAGAAAAACCCGTCCAGTCTATGTTTGTGTTTCTTATTCTCCATCAGCTGTAAATGTTCCAGTGAAAGACGCTTTTCCTTTAAAACAGATTCCCTTAAATTTTCACTAAAGGCAGATTCCTTTAAATTACCGCCCATTTTCCACTTAATTCTCTTTAAATCAAGAGCAGGTTCCTTTAAAGTACCGCTAAATACAGAACAGGACCAGCTTCCCTTCTCAATGGAAGGGATGAGGGAGCTGTCGCAGATCTAGTTACCTTCCTCAGCTGACAGACTTTCAATAAGCAGATGAGGAAAGTAAAAAACATGGCACTTTGCTTTCACAAACAAACATCTGTCTGCTGCCCTACTGATCCCCCATGTCACTGACCGGATCAAGTCTAAATTTCCAGATGTTATGCCTCCTGTCCCTCTGTCCCACATCTTGACTTGCGACTCTTTTAAACTTCTAGAGGCTAACTCAACTATAAGAGGGACACTGAGAATTTTATCAGTCAGTTTAACAGGGAAAAATTTGGCTTTTTGGTGTCCAATGAATTCTTATAAAATACACAGATAACCAGGAATGGTTCACAACTCACGTAGCAGAGGAATTTTGCTTCATTCATTAAAGCCTTCATGCAAGGGCACCACAGGTATTAAACTAATGTCATACTTAATCTTAGTCATAATAAACCAAGTGCAACTAATCACGCCTATGTAGAGGTATTAAAGTGATGTGTGGAATACCAGGCTCAGCCCTCAGTCATGGAGAGAGAGGTCTCACTTACCGCCATAAAGTACAGCACGCAATCTGCTGAACAGATGGTCTCAAAAATAAAAGTAATCCGTCCTAGTTCTGACCCAGTTGCTCCTGTCACCGATGTCGGAGGTCTGTTTAACAGAGAAGGAACAAAACATTTACAAGGTGCTCTCCAGACAGGCAGCAGTCAATCCTTCAAATTACTTTTCGTGCAGCGAGGAAACCATCAAAGTCCTGTCACATAAAATCTGCCCTTGCAGAACCGTGGAGGCCAGGCTTGCACAGCGGCTCTGCAGTGGCGTGCAGCAGGGTTATTTTTTAAGTGTCTGACTTCTTTATGGTACAGTTCCCTCCTTAGAATTAACACCCAAATTAGACCATACTGGTAGGGAATCTTTTTGCTTAAACGCATTATATATTTAAACTATTTACACTGATTTAATTGCATCTACCCTCCACTGGTGGGAGAAGCTTTCAGGAGTTTCATGCAAACCAGGAGTATTCAGGGTGCTCCCCTGCAAAGTACTAAATAACATTAAACTGGGACACGCCGAGTTTTTCCACAGATATGTTTCTTACTTCTCTTTTATTTTAGTTGCTGTTTGCCCATGCTGTAAAATAAAAATCAGGGTTTGCTCATTAGGTGTAAGAAGTCACAAGCCCCCTCAGCTGGGAGACAGCAAAGGGAGGGTGAGATTCGTTTTGCCATACCTTATCCATCTTAATATGGCACCTGGTCTGAGCTAGGAGTCTAAGACCACTCTTTTTGCAAAGAGACACAAGCACCTCAGGCAGCTATTTCATCCTGACTGAGGGTCCAGGAGAGGTGGGTTGTCCTGTTCTCCTACGGTGCCTGCATCGCTCCACTGGCTTCAGGGGAAGCACTGACTGTGCAGGCTTCCCAGAGCTACAGCACGAAGTAACTGGGGTTTCTGTAAAATTCCTTCAGGGCAGGCACCAGTATACACCCCATGGCAAGTTTAGCTGGTTACTTTGGACTAATTTAGAAACAGAGGAACTGGAATATCTTTTCTCAGTTCCCAGACAGCCAACCTGTTGGCATCTCAGACTGAAGGAAACACTGCAAAAAAACAAGGTCTTACGGAATCGTCTGCTACATTGGGCTGCCTGGGGACAGAGGAAAAAAATCCAAGTTTCCTCTTGTCTTTCATTCGTGAAATCATTGCACTTCAGAATGAAGAACTCTGTTCATTCCAGGGGTAATGTGAAATAGGTGTAAGAGACAGCAATAAATGGGAAATAGATGAAAAAACTCCCGTTCCTTACTTAAATCCCGGGATGTGCAGGTTCAAGATAAGATAGTCATTGTCAGAGCCTCCTGCCCCGCTCTGGATGTGATCACCAGCCACCTCCCAACCTTTGCCGAACAATAAAAAAAGAAAAAGCATGAAGAAATTGATAGTTTCCAGGTCATATGGAAAAAAATTACTATGTTACTTTACATTTTTTAAGAAATTTAGTACTTTAGTAAATTTTAAAGATGTCTGATATAAACTATAGAGCAGTATAATAATGCTTTTGAATGAAAAATTTTAGCAATTGTATGAACTGCTGATTTTATAGGCAAATGTCACCTTGAAATCAGCAAAGCAATAGAAATTCCCTGACCTACACGATTGAAGCTCAAGGGGGATGATCCATCTGATCTCTTCTAGCCTTAAAACAGATGAATCAATGAATCTATGTGTTAAACGTTAAGCATATGCTTCAGTGCCCCTGTGCTCAACACGCATAATTTAAAGCTTGAGTTACATCAGCCTGACAGGGCGGATCAGACTGAGGAAAATCTTTCAGAGAAGGCTAGAGGTGGGAGAAGTTCTGAATGGAACATTTTCACTGATGATCTGTGACTGCTCTCTGCTGCATCTTAGCACATGTGCAGAGAGAAAACTGAGTGTTAAATGAACAAAACCACAGGCTTTAATTAAGTTATCTAAAAGAATTATGGGTGACCTCGATGGGAATAGTTATCACAAAAAACAAAAGGAGATAAACTAGAGAGAAGTCATATAGTTGTATTTTTTTCAATGGGGATGTTCAAATGCATCACAGTCTAAGGTGGGATAGGTCCTGATCTGAGTGGACTTCACACAGGCTGCAGCTCCTGCCCTCTTCTGGTATATAGGAGATTTTTTATTTCTTCTTAGTTATATTGTGACATCGCTTCCTATAGTAAATTTCAAGCCTAGTGCAATTAAAGAAAAGGGGGGAAACTGTGTAGTGACTCATGCGGCAAAGAGCATACTCATTTTGATGGGTGCTGCATTACAACAGTAATCAGCACAGGAGAAAGGCAGGCACATAACAACACAGGGAGTTTGGCTCACCGTTCATCCCATCACACTTTGAGTTGCCAACATTAAAGCAAGACGTCTTCATGTTGCCTGGCAGGATATTCCACCACTTGTACTCAAACCCAAGAGCTGGTTCAGTACCAGCAGGGCAGGCTTTGCACTCTGCAGAGTGAGAGGGCAGAAAAAGGAAATCACACAAGCAAAGCACATCTCAAACAATGTTTTAAAGAATATAGATATTTCTTTTTTACTTTCTGGGGAAAGTAATAAGCAAAGAAAATAATTTATTTCTTTACAATCACAGAATCACAGAATGGTAGGAGTTAGAAGCGACCTCTGGAGATCATCTAGTCCAACTGCCCCGCCAAAGCAGGTTAGCCTAGAGCAGGTCACACAGAAATGTGTCCAGAGAAGGAGACTCCACAACCTCCCTGGGCAGCCTTTTCCAGGGCTCTGTCACCCTCAGAGTAAAGAAGTTCCTCCTCATGTTCAGGCAGAACTTCCTGTGCTCCAGTTTGTACCCGTTGCCCCTTGTCCTGTCGCTGGGCACCACTGAGAAAAGCCTGGCCCCATCTTCTTGACACATGCCCTTTAGATATTTATAAGTGTTGATAAGGTAAGAATCAAACAGTCAAAGACTTATCAGGACCAGAAGAGTAGAAACAAGACCTGCATTTTATAAATTGCAGATCATAACCTCATGGTAGGCAATCTGCAACTGATCCCCCAAGCTGCACTTCCTTTTTAATGGCTTCAGCCGGAGGTTTGATCATATTGGGAAACATGAGTTTCCACAAAATGCTGTAGGTGACCACTTGGCCAATACACCTCAGAATCAACAAGCCAGAGTTTAGGCTAGACAATGTTGGCAGGGTACTCATCTGACAGCGCTTAAAATGAGATTTTCACAGGCAAGAACTTGGCATGGACAGAAGAATGGGTGAGGAGGAATTACGGACTGTAAAAGTTCTGATTCCCTTCTCAGAATCCCTTAAAGTAACCCTCAGGATGTTTCTATCAGCCAAGAAATGCACCCAGAACACAGCAGGTCAACTTAGAGCAGAAATCCCTGATAAGAAAGGACTTCAGAGAGAAACCAGATATCCAACTCTCTCTCTCCAATGGTATTTAATAAGAATTTTATGCAAAATGAACTCTATCTTATGATGATGTGTCATAAAACTAAGTCATGTGCAAGCAGACCACTGCTTTAGGGGACACAAGCAGTTTTTTTGTGGACTCGTACCCTGTGTCCCATCTGAAAAGGTGCCTGGTGGGCAAGGAGTACAGGAAGACGAGGCGTTGTTGTAAAAGCCAGGATTGCAGGGTGGACAATCCTTCCTCTCTCCAGAAGGAGGTAGGGTCAATGCATCAGGAAGATCCTCTCTGCAGATCTTGGGTTCAATCCATTTGTACATGATCTGAGTCTGGAAAGAGAAGACACTGAGCTCACATGGTGTGTTATTAAGCTTTAGGACTAAATGCACTAATCGAGGTCCCCCCTGTAAATGAGATTAGGGTATTCCCAATGTTTCAGGCAAAAAATAGACCTTGCACATCCAGGAGAATAAAGGGAATAGTGGAGAAGAGAAACAGAAATGACTGGGTTCACAGGCAATTCCAAGATATCAGACTTTAAAAGCAAAGCAAAAACATGAATCTTAAAACAATTACCGCTGTTCATTCCTATTTATCTATGAATGGATAGAAATTTCCCATCAAAATGTTTCTGAGGAACATCAGATAAATAATTCTGACAACTGCATAAGCAATCTCTGCATTTTAACCATAGTAACCCAAAATATAACTTCTGCATTATAAAAGCCCTTTATTGGGAAGGCATAGGTTAGCAGAGAACACCACAAGTTTTCCATTTTTTCTCCATACTGGCCTGTTCTTTGAAAACTGAGCAAATGTCAAAACCACACACAGGAGCTCTCCCTTTCCAGTCCCTCTACATCACATAAAGAGCAGTTTATGACCACTAACATGAGTCAGTCCTGTACTGTATTGTCTTTCTGTCATCACCTCTCTTTGAAGAGCCAAGTTTTCTGTCTTCAGAAAAAGTCTTAGGTGAGATGCAACACCCATGAAGTTGAGTTTCAAATTTCAACTGACATTGTGTCTATCCCTGAAAGGGTTTAATATCTCAAGAAGAAAATTAGCTGAGTTCCAGAGCTGAGAAACCCAACTGGCAAGACTTTAACCTGGCCACAGCTCCTCCTCTGGGTACTTCCACCCTTTGGTCCCAGCAGTGTAACCACGGATCCTTGAGGCCAGAGGCACAGGTACAGAGCTTGGCAGGGGAGATTTCACCTTATGAATTTTATCCAGAGCTCTGAGCATATGCCTCTGCCATCCTGGGTGTTGATCTGCTTGCGCTCAACGTTAGCCCTCTGATAACACAAGAGCTCTTCAAGAAGTATTGGGCAACTTTGAAACTCTTTGACAAAAAGCTAGAAGAAGCCTCAGTGCAGGCTCAGGCCCCAGCTCCTGGGAGCTGCAATCAAGCTGAGGCTCTTGCCCTTTGTCCCTGCCTGTGCTGTGTTGCAGCCGTGCCTGCGCCACGTCATGTACCCTGGCTGACCCCCATCCTGACTGACCCATGGACTTGATGTCCCAGCTTGACATTGGCCATGCCTTATCACTATGAACTTGTCTGGCAACCTTGGCTGAATCTGGCCGCTGATGCTGGGTCTGCTTTGCTCACTTTGCTCAGTGGGACTGCTCTTGCTGTCAGAGTGGCATCTGTCCCTTACAGATCCGCCTGCCCTAGCTGCTTCTGAACACCCAGAGGATTTTCTGGGGTATTGCTCCAAAAACGCTTCAGCAGCATCAGGGTGCACAGCATTTAAAATAAAAAGGCTCAGGAACTGGCAAAGTACCTGTGTGATTGCCAAGAGCCCAGACACACTGTACACACTAAAGCAATCTTACTGCATCTGAGCAGAGAGAAAAGGGTCAGAGAGTGCCCACAGCCACGCAGATGAGGGTTTCTAAGACTAGGGCTGAAGCAATCCGCCTGGGATTTTTAAAGCAGTAGGTAGATGAAAAGTCAATAGGAGTCAAGTGCCTAAATCTGCTGAGGCCCCTTCTACACATGGAGTGGAGACAGCAGGAGGGAGACACCAATCTAATGTCCAGTGAAAAACCTGGCTGGTTTTAGTAATCCATTGATTAATAGGCCTTTATGCTGATATTTCACAGCCACTGTTCACCTGAAGATGGGCTACAGACTCAGGGCCTCTCATTGAGCTGTGTCAGGTGGACAGATGTCTGGGAAGAACAGCAAACCCGGATCAATTCCCAGGGATGCAGCGCACTAAACGGTGAAAGCAGTCCTGAAAACCCAGCCAGTACCTGTGCGTCTATGACACATGTTGTTGCAACTGGAAGAAGAAGGGTGTCTGCAGAAAGACCCACTTTGTGTTCTGATGAAGTTCATCAGTGAAGGGAAAGGTCACTGAGGAGGCAGGACGAGTGTCAACAGTAGGAGCCTATTCAGTGCCAGAATCGCACAGAGCAGTGATAGGGTAATCTGCAGGAGGCTGCAATTAAAGCAGTTACCCAAGGGTGGAGCAGTGAACACTGCTGCTAATTCCTCAAATCATTACAGAGGGTTGGACTAGGTGATCTTTCAAAGTCTGTTCCAACTGCTAAAATTCTGTGATTACAGGCAGTTAACAGAGCAAAAATCAGTGAGTCAAGACCAGGTTGCAGAGCCTGACAGCTCTGGGGCTAAACTCACTGGTGCTTCCTTAATAAAACACATGAAATCTTAGCTGCATTTTGGAACTGGCTGACCAGGTGTCCTAGGTTACAGTGTAAGATGTGC